ACAGGCGTGAGCCACCGCGCCCGGCCTCATCTAACTAATATTTAGGCAAGATTTCAGGATCTATTAACTGATGAGTAAAGAAAAACAAACTCCTAGTGAAAATAAGCTTGTTTAGGCCAGCGTACTGATTTACCCCGGGGATTTCTCAGACCTTGGATGTACCGGAAGGGAAACGCATTAGGCTGGAAGGTGACATCTTTGGTTGCTTCTCCTTAGGCCCGAGTATTTAACGAGACGCCCATCAACCCTCGCAAATGTGCCCACATCCTCACCAAGATCCTTTATCTCATAAACCAGGTACGAGGGCGAGGCTTTGGGGGGCGGAGGACGGGGTGCCGGAGGATGTCGCGGAGGGCGGAAAGGTCACGATCGCGTTTGGGCTGTCGGACAGGCTCCGTGTGGTTGGAGTCGGTGGCCCCGCATCCGGCTTTGACGTGTTGCCTTTGGGTGTCCCCGAGGTCTGACGGTCTGGCCTGGGCCGGTCCAGCAGGGAGCGCCCCCCCGGCCTCTCTGTTGCAAGCTGTGACTTCTTTCCTGACTAACGCAGGGGGAGCACCTCGGGACCACCGAAGCCACCGAGGCCTTCTTCGCCATGACCAAGCTCTTTCAGTCGAACGATGTAAGCGCCCCAATCCCAGCTTTCCTCGCGAGGTGGCAGCTGTGAGCGGGTGAGGGGCAGGGGGACCGAGAGAAGCCAGCGCCGCCCGGTCAGTGTGTGTCGCTTGTGTGCAGGTTAGAGGTTTCTGCTGATCGTGTCCCTCTCGCTCAGCCGGGCCTGACAGGGCTTTTCCTCTCTGCTTCCCAGCCCACCCTGCGTCGCATGTGCTACCTGACCATCAAGGAGATGTCTTGCATCGCAGAGGATGTCATCATTGTCACCAGCAGGCGAGTCTGGAGCCGTGGGCGGCTCCTCTGATGCCTTCCTTTGACAGAGACCAGTTTTTCCTCGTGCGTCCCAGACAGTGACACTTTTGGTTACCATATTGCTAGGTGGCATTTTCTCTAATGTCCCTGTCATCCTTCAGTTACTGCTGCCCTCCCCATCCCCCCATGGCAGCCTCCAGAATGTACTATTTCTCTTTCAATTCTGTAGCCTTGACTTGAGCACACACCCTTCTTTGCCTTCATTCCTTTTCGTCAACTGAGCCAGCCTAGAACTTTCTTTTTTTTGAGACAGAGTCTCACTCTGTCGCCCGGGCTAGAGTGCCGTGGCGTCAGCCTCACTCACAGCAACCTCCAACTCCTGGGCTCAAGCGATCCTCCTGCCTCAGCCTCCCGAGTAGCTGGGACTACAGGCATGCACCACCATGGCCAGCTAATCTTTTCTACATATTTTTAGTTGTTTGGCTAATTTATTTCTATTTTTAGTACAGACCGGGTCTCGCTCTTGCTGAGGCTGGTCTCGACCTCCTTACCTTGAGCGATCCTCCCTCCTCGCCCGCCTGAGTAGCTGGGATTACAGGCACACGCCACCCGTGCCAGGCTAATTTTTTCTGTTTTTAGTTGTTTGGCCAATTTCTTTCTATTTTTAGTATAGAACGGGTCTCGCTCTTGCTCAGGCTGGTCTCGAACTCCTAACCTCGAGCGATCCTTCCTCCTCGGCCTCCCGAGTAGCTGGGACTACAGATGTGAGCCACCGCACCCGGCCTATAGAGTATATTTCAATTCCCGTGTGTAGTTCTGGCGATATAGCAAGATAGGGTGTGATGCGGATCATTGTGGGCAGCATGGTAGGCTCTGAGAGGAGATCAGAAGAGCCCCCAGCTCGATGTCGATCCAGAAAGCCCTCCTAGCCCAATAGCGTGAGTGGAGTGCAGGTCAGGGGTGCTCCAGGCTACGGAAACAGCACGTGCAAAGGCCTGGAGAGGAGTGAGCACAATTTCCTGGGGAACTTCAGGGAGTTTCTGCTCGAGCTCGCTGGCAGTAGGAAGCCGTGGGAATGTTCTAGCGAAAGCAGGGGAGCGACCTGGTCGGTCTGAGTTTCAAAAAAACCCCTCCCCGGCCGCTGTGTGGGGTTCGGCTTGGCGGGGCAGGCACGGAGGGAGAGCGTGGGTTTCGGGGGCTCTGGTGGCGATGCAGGTGAGTATGGCGGCCGGGGGACCGGAGGGGAGTGGACAGGCTTGGGCACCCTGCGTGGTGACACTGCCTTCTCCCACCCCCCGCAGCCTGACAAAAGACATGACCGGGAAAGAGGACAACTACCGGGGCCCCGCCGTGCGCGCCCTCTGCCAGATCACCGATGTGAGTCGCGCGCCCCTTCCCCGCCGCCCGGCCTCTTGCTGGAGGCTCTCGGCCCCATCCTTTGCGTGCTTTGGGTGGGCCCCACCTCGCTGGGCCAGGCAGTGTGGGGTGGGGGCGGTGTGCGGGACCCCCCCCCCCGTACCCCGTCACCTGCCCTGCCGACGCCTGATCGGGTCCCCTCCCCTCCGCGTCTCAATCCGCAGAGCACGATGCTGCAGGCCATCGAGCGCTACATGAAACAGGCCATCGTGGACAGGGTGGCCAGCGTGTCCAGCTCTGCCCTGGTGTCTTCCCTGGTGCGCGGGGAGATGGGGCGGCGAATTGCAGAAAAGAGCAAAACCACTTTCCAGTAGGGGGATGAAGGGGTTTTTTTTTTTCCCCAGTTTTGGGGTTGGCTTGCTTGCTTGCTTTTTCGTTGACGGGGGGGGGCCCCCCGGTTTTGGTTTGTTTGGGGGGGGGTTTTGGGGGGGGGGGGGGTTGGCTTGGCCCTTTCCTTTGGGGGGGGGGTTGGTTGGCGTTTGGTTTTGGGAAATTATTTTGCGGCCGGGCGGGGGGGGTTGGGGTTGGGGGTTTTCGGGTTTGTTTTGGGTTTTTGCGGGGCCGGGCGGGGGTTGCGGCCCTGGCTGTGTCCAAGGGAAGACCAAGCCGCTCCAGGCGACAGGGAGGGAGGGGATCCATCCTTCCTGCCTGTCCCTTAACGTGCCCTGTTGCCCACAGCACCTGCTGAAGTGCAGCTTCGACGTGGTCAAGCGCTGGGTGAATGAGGCCCAGGAGGCGGCCTCCAGCGACAACATCATGGTCCAGGTGAGATGCGAGCGGAGGGGTGATATTTGAAATACTCAGGTCGGGCGCGGTGGCTCACGCCTGTCATCCCAGCACTCTGGGAGGCCGGGGAGGGAGGATCGTTTGCTGGAGGTCAGGAGTTCAAGACCAGCCTGAGCAAGAGCGAGACCTCCGTCTCTACTAAGAATAGGAAGAAATTAACCAAACAACTAAAAATATATAGAAAAAATTAGCCGGGCATGTGGCTCACTCCTGTAAGCCCGGCACTCTGGGAGGCCAAGGCGGGAGGATCGTTTGCTCGAGGTCAGGAGTTCCAGACCAGCCTGAGCAAGCGTAAGACCCCATCTCTACTAAAAATAGAAAGAAATTAGCCAAACAACTAAAAATATATAGAAAAAATTACCTGGGCACGGTGGGTCATGCTTGTGATCCCAGCACTCTGGGAGGCCGAGGTGGGAGGATCCTTTGCTCGAGGTCAGGAGTTCGAGACCAGCCTGAGCAAGAGCGAGACCCCGTCTCTACTAAAAGTAGAAAGAAATGAGGTGGACAACTAAAATATAAATAGAAAAAATTAGCTGGGCACGGTGGCCCATTCCTGTAGGCCCAGCTACCCGGGAGGCTGAGGCAGGAGGATCGCTCAAGGTCAGGAGTTCGAG